ACAGCTCTGCCGATATACTATTACTGTGCTGGTAAAGAACTCCTAATATAGATGTGGCCTAATCTTGAGGGGAAGTTGGAGAGGGAGGGCAGCAGGAATCGCCAGAGGAAAATGTTCAAGTAAGAGCAACACATTCTGTTGCTTGTTCTCTATTTGATTCCTTACCAAGTATCTTGGTTAAATCATGAACTGCTATCATAGCATTACCCAAAACGGCCACCACAGCCTGGAATCTGTCAGCATGAGAAATCCTGTTTTTTCTGGGGTTTATAAATTATCTGTTTGAAACTGCAACAGTAGAAAATCAGTAAACATGCAATTTCCCTCTTTCTTTCTCTTTCCTTTTCCCCCCTTACACTTTATTTCAATTGGTTCAGCTGGCTTGCATTTACAGACTGGCAAAAACAAACTCAACATGCAGTACAAGGCTCAAAGCTTCCACCACTTTCTGAAACAGCACCAGCAACAACAAGCCTGGATTCTTTTCTTTAATTTTTTTTTTTTAAAGAGAATGATGCTTACGAAAGATGCTGAATCAACAGCACTGCAGACTGATGTTCTTTATTTATCCATAGGTACAGCATGGACAGAGACAGGGCATGCTATTCCAGGCTGCCCCTGTCCCCATGTACTCACTCCTACCTTGGAGGGACCTGACTGCAGGCACAACCTCTAAAGAGAGAAAGGGCCCTTTCTCCATGCCAATTTCTTGGCTTGTTTGCCTTGACACCCCTCAAGAAGTCAGTTAATGATAAGTGTAATGGTAAAATGCTCCCTTGTTGTATTGTATGAACCAGGGGTGGTCAAACTGTGGCTCATAAGCCACATGAGGCTTTTTTACCATTAAAGTGTGACTTGCAAAGCCCCACCCCCATTCTCCACCTACCAGACCAGCGGGTGGGGGAGGAGGGGAAGAGGGGAAGCTCGGGACCTCTGCCTTTCAGCAGAGTGGTGGGGTAGGGACTTCTGCCCAGCGGGAAGGAGGGTCTTGGGGCGTGCACCTTCCAGAACTTGGGGCTTCAGCAGGAGCGGGGCTGAAGCCCCAAGCCCTGTCAGGCACCTCTTGGGACTGAAGCCCCAAGCCCCAGCGCCCAGCAGGGGTACCCCAGCTCTTGAACTTCTGAAGATTGTCATATGCGGATCAGAGGAGCAGTAAGTTTGACCACCCCTGGAATGAACAAAAGCCAAAAGATTTTGCCAGCGCTACAGTCCTTAAAATGGGAACTGGAGAGACAAAATATTGAAGCAGAAGACATTTTCATAGTATGCCCATGCATAATTGCTATGTTTCATAACTGGTTTTATTTTTGTTGTTGTTTTTTGCTGCATCTCTATTTCATACCCCTTCCCTTTAGATTTTGGTGTTATGGTTTTACTATGCTAAGTCCCACTGATTTTGGTGGGAGGTTGCCACGTATTTCCACCGTAGCAGTTCCAATGAGGACCTCAGGGAGCTGTGATATATGGACATAGCAAAGGAACTCGTTAGCGTGCAGTGTTTTTACTAATCAAAGCACTGATTTCAGTGCGTTTGAAATGTTCTGTGTCTGTGTGTATCAAATGTGGTACATGCACAGAAAAAATGAAATTTTAGAAGGCTCTGCACTATGCATGTAGGACATTTGATTAATTAAAGCTGAGATGTAACATTTCAGTTATACACATACATGAGTTGGGCATGTATATATCTGAGTCGTGATATCAGAAGGGATCTAGCAGGCCCAGCAGCTTTACGGATGGCTTCCCTATCACTACCATTTATTTCCAATCTCCCACATCCTGCAGGGTGAATCAACATGTGAAGTTTGTTTAGCATGTACAAAATCCAGATTGCATGTTCAAATGTGTGTGCACACCGTCAAATAAACATACCGGAACCTTTCTTTTTCTTGTTGATTTATACCTAAACAAAAATATAAAAATAAATAAATAAAAATAAAAAGTAAAAAACTAAGTTAATGTGCAATAGTACTGTGTACACATATACACATCAGTCACCCGTTCAAAACTATGGTTCCCACAGCAATTCTAATTTAGACCCCTTGCAAATATATACTATGGTGGCTTGCATTGCTATACATATATGGCAAAATCCTGCTCACCCCCACTTGAGTGAGTTGCTCCATTGACTTCAGAAGGAGTGTTTGTGCAAGTAATATGAGCAGGGTTGGACCCAAAGTTCCAGGACTGGATTCCGTAACTTGGTAAACATCCCCAGTGCCAATTGCATTCAAAGGCAGTTGCAGGTACTCAGCATCAGGCCCTTTTATGTTATGGCATTAAAGATCATCAATTATACAGTAAGACTAAATGATACTGTATCAATATATGTGGGTAAAAAGAGCAAATGACAGCTGTTGTGGGAATTAGAATTATGACTACTCTAACTTTTGTGTATGACTGCTCTAAATTTAGCCCACATATTGCATTTATGTATATGTATTGTTTGCACCTAATTTAAATCAACATGAATTTTTAAAGTCTGCTTTAGGTATCTCTAATGAAGGTCCATATAAAAGCAAATTCCATGTTATATCAATTCTGTATGGGTATCCCATGTATTGTATAAATCAACCATTATAATGGTTCCATGAACATTTGAGGAAGCCTGAAGGAGCCATAGATCTGTTACATTCTCAGTGAAAGTTAGTAGGTTCCCTCCTTCTGTAAACATCTCACTTTGCATTAGGAGCCTTTTCAGTATCTATGCAACTACTGTTAAAAGGTTAGCAAGCGATTTTTGTTTAAATAACTTGTGTACTATTGGTTACATGCACAAGTACTCCTTTTCTTTTTGCGAATACAGACTAACACGGCTGTTCCTCTGAAAACAAAGTAAGGTAATTGCAAAAGTTGACAATGAAATAATGTTAAGGGTCTGAGCAAACTTGGCAACAGCAAGCAAATTCAGGACCAGCATCACCACTCTGGTCTTTAGCTCATCACACCGTACATTGGTGCCATACCCTCCCTCTCTCCTCCTATCCTACCCTGCCTATGGCCCATATCCCAGATCCTGCACCCTCCCTCTCTGTTCCTCCTATCCACTCTGGCCATACCCGAGCTCCTGCACTCTTCCCCTCTGGCGCTCCCGCATTGGATCCTGTCTCCCGTTCCTCCCATACCTTCTGCTTCTCCCTATCCTCTGGCTCTTGCACCCTCTTTTTCTTCCCCCTGACCAGCCCTCCCCCCGCCCTCACTCCTCTGCATTCCAGTGTGCCTGCTTCCTCTTGCACATTGCCTGAGTGCCAAAAGGGAGAGCAGTGAGATAACAGGAAAGATAGTCTCCTTGCTCTCAGTTCTGGTGCCAGGTACCACAGCAGCTGCAGCGGCAGTCAGAAGGAGCAGTTGCAAGGGAAGTCCAGCTCAGCCCTAGAATGGAGCATGCTCAGTCACTCTGTGGATACAGCACAAACAGAGTCTGGTTGGCATGTAGGACCTGTGAGGGGATGGAGTAAGCTCTATACAGAAGGAATCTGAAGAGAATTTAGCTGTCAAACTCTTAACTTCTACTGAGCATATGCGAGCTGAGGTTTTTCAGAGATTTATAACTTGGCCAAATTTAGGCTAATTTTCACAGAACAGCAAAAGACACATCACTAACATGCAGATGACTTTTCTGCCAAATTTCAAGTCCCTGCTTCAAAGAATGAAGGTGGTAGAGCATCTCAACCAAGCTCTGTAAGAATTATTTTATCATGGGTAAAGCAATGTATTTTCCCCTGACCACATGCTTGGAAACAGGTGAAATATTTTAGTTGAAACTTTCCAAGAAAATTCAGCCTGAGGGAGAAAGCCAGCATGGAAAATTTCAGTCTGAACAGTTAAAGTTTGGCAAAGTTATAAGTAACAGAATACAGGGTCTCATAAAGGAAAGTGCTGGACTACCTTAATGTAGGTGAGGCTACCAACTCTGCCTATAACAATAAGCCAATCTGAGCCCCCAGCTCTGTACATTCGTGGGAACAGATCAGAATTTTGCATTTTTGGCCCATCTCTAATCTACAGTATTTGCCCTGCACTAAACCCAGCAAGGCAGGCCAGCATTCTAGCAAAGAAATATTGACAACGTCTCTACTGGTCCTGCATGTCCTGATGGGGGAGGATTCTGTTCTCTAAACTCCTGTGCAAATCTATTTTCTCTGGCTATGCCCTATGGCTATGATCCTAGCCAGGATCCAGCCTTTTATAATAAACCACTCATATTATACCTGGTAAATATCATGCAACGACATAGGACTGGTCCAGCTCCAACAGAAATTAATAGCAATATTACCATTGATTTCAATGGGTACAGGATCAATGGGTACAGGATGGTATTTCTGTTTTCATTCAAATTACACTGTAACTATGGCACCAGACAGTGTAATCTGTATTATAATAGCCATGCATTTGCTTTTCCGTTAATGAAATAATCCAAAATTATCTTCATAACTTATTTGTGTACTCTAAAATCAAGCATTGCTTACTTTGGTCATCTTATAACCTTAAGATAGAAAGCTGGGATCATGATTGCTGCTTATGTTTCAAACTGCAGCACAAATTTTCATCAATCCTAATTTTCTCCAAATGTCAGAGGGAAGGGAGGAGCAAGAAAATGGAGACAGATGAAACCTAAAGCCACTAAGGGGAAGTTAATATGCTTGGTAGGAAGCTACAGTTGTTGGATCAGCAGTCTTTTAACACAGCATAGTCTCTGAGACTGCTTCTGTGCTGATGACAAGAAAGCTGGAACAGTAGTTTAAGCCCAGGTGCTGACACCAGGATTAGTTTCCAAATCCCAAGCCTGCTGCTGGTAATTTGCTTAAAACAACAACGACAACAAAAATTAACCCCCCTCTCCTCCCACAAAAATCTATACCATCTGTTGAAGGTGAGAGCAGCTGAGTATAGTAACATCTATATATACATATATATATATATATATACACACACACGTATACAACTACAATACCCATCTGCGGAAGTGAAGAAACAGATTGATAGAGCCAGAAGAGTTCACCTGCACATCCACCAATGTGATATATGCCATCATGTGCCAGTAATGCCCCTCTGCCATGTACATTGGTCAAACTGGACAGTCTCTACGTAAAAGAATAAATGGACACAAATCAGATGTCAAGAATTATAACATTCATAAACCAGTCAGAGAACACTTCAATCTCTCTGGTCACGCGATTACAGACATGAAAGTTGCTATATTACAACAAAAAAACTTCAAATCCAGACTCCAGCGAGAAACTGTTGAATTGGAATTCATTTGCAAATTGGATACAATTAACTTAGGCTTGAATAGAGACTGGAAGTGGCTAAGTCATTATGCAAGGTAACCAATTTCCCCTTGTTTTTTCCTACCCCCCCCCCTTCAGACGTTCTTGTTAAACCCTGGATTTGTGCTGGAAATGGCCCACCTTGATTATCATACACATTGTAAGGAGAGTGGTCACTTTAGATAAGCTATTACCAGCAGGAGAGTGGGGGGGGGGGGAGAGAAAACCTTTTGTAGTGGTAAAACACCCATTTTTTCATGCTTTGTGTGTATAAAAAGATCTTCTATACTTTCCACAGTATGCATCCGAAGAAGTGAGCTGTAGCTCACGAAAGCTTATGCTCAAATAAATTGGTTAGTCTCTAAGGTGCCACAAGTACTCCTTTTCTTTTTAGTAACATCAAGGGAGACCACAAAGGATCAGCCCTGCCCTTACAGGCATCTACTAGTGTGTAAAGTAGATTCTAAGGCCAACAAGATAGAGAGAAAGTGGAAGATTTCAGAGGGAACTAGTTTAATCATAGAAAGATAGAGCTGAAGGGCCTCTGAAGGTCATCAAGTGCAGCCCCTTGCACTGTGGCAGGACCAAGTAAACCTCCTAGACCATCCCTGACAGGTGTTTGTCCAGCCTGTTCTTAAAACTTCCAACGAGGGGGATTCCACAGCCTCCCTTGAAAGCATATTCTAGAGCTTAACTACCCTTGTAGTTAGGAGGATTTTCCTAATGTTAATTTTCCTAATTAACCTAAATCTCCCTGGCTGCTGATTAAGACTATTACTTCTCGTCCTATCTTCAGTGGAAATAGAGAACAATTGACCATAGTCTTCTTTATAAAAGCCCTTAACATATCTGAAGATTGTTATCAGGTTCCCCTTAGTCTTCTTTCCTCAAGATTAAACATGCCTTTTTTTTTTTTAAACTTTCCTCATAGGTCAAGTTTTCTAAATCTTCTATCATTTTTGTTGCTCTCTTTTGGACTGTCTCTAATTTGTCCACTTCTTTCCTAATTTGTGGTGCACAGAATTGGACGCAATAGTCCATCACCAGTGGCAAGTAGAGCAGAACAATTACTTCCCCTACGACACTCCTATTAATATACCCCAGAGTGATATTAGCCTTTTTCACAGTTCCATCACGTTGTTGACTCATATTCTATTTATGATCTACTATAGCCCCCAGATCCTTTTCAGCCGCTCTACCACCAAGCCAGTTAGTCCCCATTTTGTAACTGTGTGTTTGATTTTTCCTTCTTAAGTGAAGTACTTTGCACTTGTCGTTACTGAATTTCACCTTGTTGAATTCAGACCAATTCTCCAATTTGTCCAGGTCATTTTGAATTCTAATCCTGTCCTCCCAAGTTGTAGAAATCCCTCTAGCTTGGTGTCATCTGCAAATTTCATAAGCACACTCTCCGCTCTATTATCCAAGTAATCAATGAAAATATTGAATAGTTGAATTGAATTGAAACCCAGGGCTACCCCCTGTGGGACCCCACTAGATAAACCCTCCCAGTCTGAGAGTGAACCATTGATGACTACTCTCTGAGTACAGTCTTTCAACCAGTGGTGCACCCACCTTCCAGTAATTTCATCTAGACTCCATTTCCCTAGTTTGCTTATGAGAATGTCATGTGGAACTGTTTCAAAAGCCTTACTAAAATCAAGATATACCACATCTACTGCTTCCCCCAATATGCTAGGCCAGTAATCCTGACAAAGAAGGAAATAGGTTGGTTTTGCATGATTTGTTCTTGACAAATCCACGCTGGCTATTCCTTATAATCCTATTATCTTCTAGGTGCTTACAAATTGTTTGTTTAATAATTTCTTACAGTATATTTCAGGTATTGAAATTAGACCGAATGGTCTATAATTTCAGGGTCCAAAATTAATGGGTAGCTAATACCATCAGACTAAAGCATAATGTGTCTTGTAGCAGAGGTTTGTTTTTAATTTTTTGAGATGTCATAAAAATTATTAAGCTTGCAAAGAGCATCCCAGAAACACTCTTCAACCTAGAGCCTATTCTCTATTTAGTGGGAGAGATGTGCTGAGTTGTACTTCAGAATGGTTATATGTTGCTTTATAACAGGAATGGAAGGATGACCCTGTGCTTAAGGCACTAAACCAGGACTCAGGAGATCTGGGTTCAGTTCCAGGTTATATCACAAGCTTCCTTTGACGTTAGACAAGTCACTTTAGCTCTCCAGAGCCTCAGTTCACCAGTTGTAAAGTGAAAATAATAATGCTCCCTTTGTCTTGCCTATTAGATTGTAAGCTCTGCAGAGCAGAGAGTTCCTCACTATGTGTCTGTGAAATGCCTAGCACCATGGAGTGTGGATCTTGGTTGGGGTCTCTAGATGGTACAATAGTACAAATAATTAATAATAGGACCCAATACTCTATTGAATGGTTAAGGCCCACGTCCCTCTATCCTCCCTGGCCTTTTAAGCACTGTCGTTCTAACTAGGGTTGCCAGCCATCCAGTTTTCAACCAGAATGCCTGGTTGAAAAGGGACCCTGGCGGCTCTGGTCAGCACCACTGACCGGGCCGCTCAAAGTCCAGTCAGTGGCGTAGTGGGGCTAAGGCAGGCTCCATGGCTCCGCGTGGCTCCTGGAAGCAGCCAGCATGTCTGACTCCTAGGTGTAGGGGCAGCCACGGGGACTCCACATGCTGCCCCTGCCCCAAGTGCTGGCTCCTCAGCTCCCATTGGCTGTGAACCATGGCCAATGGGAGCTGCAGAGCTGGTGCTTGTTGGCACAGGCAGCGTGCAGAGCTCCCTGGCCCCTCTGCCTAGGAGCCGGACATGCCAGCCGCTTCCGGGGGCTACCTGAGGTAAGCACCACTGGTCGGAGCCCGCACCTTGAATCCCCGGCCACAGCCCAACTCCCTACCTCAGGTTAGAACCCTCTCCTGCACCCTAACTCTCTCCCAGAGCCCGCACCTCAACCCCTTGCCTCAGCCCTGAGCTCCCTCCCGCACTCTGAACACCTCCGCCCCAGCCCAGAGCCCCTTCCTGCACCCCAACCCCCTACCTCTGCACAGAGCCCTCTCCCGCACTCCAAACTCCTCATTTCTGGAGCAACCCTGGAGTTCACATCCCCAGCCGGACCCTCACCACCTCCTGCAGCCCAACCCCATGAGCCAGCCTGGTGAAAGTGAATGAGGGTGGGGGAGTGTGAGCGATGGAGGGAGGGGAGATGAAGTGAGTGGGGGCAGGGCCTTGGAGAAGGGACATGGGGTGGGGCAAGGGTGTTCGGTTTTGTGCAATTAGAAAGTTGGCAACCCTAGTTCTAACTATACTGAACGTCCAAAATAAAAGCATTTCAGGGGGACTCCTCTATCTAGGTAACCTTTTAAACTATTTTTAAAAAATCCTGTTCTTACACTTATTAATTTTATGGGTGAATTTAATGCTCTTGAATGTAACTAATTATTCAATTTGTCCATAGCTGGCAAAGTGCAGTCAGGCTTCCTCATGCACAGCGCTGACCTGCAACGGCCCTGCTCTTCAAGTCCCAGGCCTCGTTTGAACAGAGTGTTAGTCCTGTCAGACTGTGTGGTGGTTTGTGATGTGAGAGTATCTGTTAGGGGCTTTCCTTCTTTTTTTTTTTAACATGGTATAGTGCCATCTGCTGGAATAGTTCAGGGACCACCATCAGAAAAAACAAAAGAAGGGTCTCCACCAGGTACCATGAACCATTCCAGTGACTGGCACAGTGTTTAAAATCGCTAACAATAGGACCACATCCTTTTAAACTGTTCCTGCCTGCTGCATCTGCTCTAACTCGTCACAGGAAGGGACAGTGATTTGTATGTGAACCAAAGTTGCACTATGTAATTACATATCTGATTATGGAGTAAGGTATACAGGGAAGGAACAGTAAACTGCAAATGAAAAGTAAATCAGGAGATAATTCTCTATTACTGTATAAATAAGGGTAGTCAGTTTTTGTAGTTATACCAGGAAAATGCAAGATATATTGTAGTTCCAAAGATTCAGACTGGTTAGGATGATGTCCCTGGTTTTTGTACTGTCAGAAGAGATCTAACAGGCTGACTCATTTGTATATTTCTCCAATATTTCTGCTGTCATTAAGTAAATCAGAAAAAGATGGGAAATTTTATAGGGACAGTGCCAAGGATGACCAGCCAAAATCTTTACCTATCAAATGACTTAAAAGAATTATACAAACGCATCTACTCAAAATAATTTTCAAAAATATTTAAACACATATTTCCTCATTTTTGTTTGGAAACTTGAAACCACCACTAACACTAGTTTTTTTACTGGCATGCACTGAAAACAGTCTTCCTTTGACTCACTCATTTCCCTCCCAAAACTAAGCAAGAAGTCTATGAGAAGTGAGGAGGGAGGTGTGACAGGTTCCCCCCGGGATGTCGCCTGGAACTGGGGTACCATTGAGCCCTCCTGACCCACCAGCCTGGGCTCCTTCTCACACAGTGCTACTGTGACAAGCTGCAAAGCCCTCCAGCCTGAAATTTTACCAGCGTACATACAGTTGGGGACACACCCAGCTTCAGTTACATGCAGGCTCTCTGACCAGCCTCTGCATAGGAAGGCTACAGCTAAGGGAACTCCCAGCTTCTCAGGCACACCCCGCCCTCTGAAATATAAACCCAAAATTATACTATCTTGTGCTGCACAGGGAATGGTACAGTGTACGCTCATAAAATTCACCCCCTCCCTCAATGTGGAGAGGAATATGCAACAGCCTTTTGCCCCTGAACTAAGATTACCATACACTTCACTCCAACTCACTCATTTAGATAAAGCAAAAACAAGTTTATTA